TCTGCTGCGGGATCGCCGGCTTTTGCGGATTCCGATTCGAACCTCTGGGACTCGGAGCCAGCCAATCGCTCGCCGCTTGTGCTGTTAATTTCCAACAATTTTACAGCTAGTTATGCAAATGCCCGGCTGTTTCTTTTCCGTTTGGAAAGTCGCTAGCTCGAGGCGGGCATTATGCCGATTCGGCTGGATGATCTCATGGCCATGGCCGCGGCCGCTGCCCAAAGATGGAAGAGGCGGGACAATAGGAACGCTCAGAGTTGCCAAAGTACGATTTATGCTGCTCGATATCTTAATAAAGTCTTGTCGATCTGGGCAATTCTTAACCATTAACTATTTGCCGGGGAAATATAAATACGAATGATGGCTGAGTAATCAGTTTAAAATATGGTTTATGTTATCACTTGATTTAAAACTAATTTACATTATTTTTTTTTAAATAAAATGTTACTGACTTTGACTTATTTAAAGCAAAAATGTATAATGTATTTTGTTTTAAAGGACCATAGGCTAAAATACTTTTATGATGAAAATTATTGCATTTTTGATATTATATCACATATTTTTTTGTGATCCTTAAGTTTACATTTTTATTGATATATAAATGTTTTACAAAAGAAACAGAAACAATTGTGTGATTGTGTTTTCTTAAAAACTTCCTTTTACGTATTATATACATACATTTTACAAAAGGTTCGCGTATTGGCTAAGTAAGTACATGGAAAGCAGTTCACAGCTTGCAGAATGTAGCAATGGTATTTATGTATGTAAGTAGCATGTAAACAATGCAGGAAAAAACGTTTTCCTAACGTTTTAAAAATTTAAACGATTCCGTAAATTTAAAATATCACGAACAAAAACAGGTTAATTTGTCTTGTTTTAGTATACAAAATAACAATAGGATGGGCATGCTTGTTTAGTAGACCATTTAATATGCTGAAAATAAGGCATTTAAAAAAGGAAAAGGAAGCTGAAGAGAGGGTTATCCAGAAAACCAAAAGGCAACATTATTTACAGCATACCTTTAAACGGCTTAATTTAGGGTCATTAGAGATTCCTGCGGCTACCCCAAAAATTAACCCAAATATGTAAGAAAGCAATAAAATCCAGACATCTGCACGCCGCAGATTACAGCTTATAAAAGTTTACATCGCGATAACAGAGTGCCGTGTGCGCAGTCCTGCGGGGGGAGTGACTAAAGGGGGTGGCGGGGGGCGGGGGGCGGAGGTCGGTGCCGCAGGACCCTCGCTATAAACAGACGAAACTCAACAGGTTTAAGCTCAGTTGTCTCTGGGCGCTGCTCGCATTCAATCGCGGAAACCGAAGGAAAAATACGGCAAATACGGAGAAAACTCCCACGTACGGCAAAGTCCACATTACGGGGCCTAACAACGAATTCCTCGTACTTGTCGCTAATAGATAATTGAATTTTTTGCCATTGTTGTGTGGGAATTTAATGCGTGGCTTGTGCAATAAAAATTAAAGAAGAAACTTTTTATGTGCGTGCTGGGCGTTTGATTGGAAATGAACACCCGCGAACATAGCATAAAAGTCAAATCAAATAATCCCAGCTGTAAAATATATATAGAAAAAAAACTTTATAAAATTACTTTTGAGTTTTTCATTTATTTCCGAGTGTAGGCAATTAAAAGTTTAATCAATAAACGTGCTCATGATAAGTGTGAAAAATAAACCAGCCAGCGGACATTGCGACAGCAGAAACAACAATGGATGAAGGATATATGTCCACATAGATACCAGAACGCAGGCCATCGCGCAAATTGTTTACTTTGGCGCTACACTGGGCGAAAAGCGGGTTCCGCCTGGGGAGCAGCAATCAAATGTGCTTTCAATTAAACTCAAAGCCCCAGCCCCTTTGCTAAATTCCCACCCTCCAGTCCGCAACGCTTGGTTGCCTGGCTGCTCATCCATCAAATTTGTCGTCCTGTCGTAATGTCGTCCTTACGTCCATACGTCCCGAGGTCCCAAAGTCCTGAAGTCCTGTCGCTTCTTTGACGGCCAGCGAGGCGGCCACGGGGAAGGGGGCGTGGTCCGACTACCCATATGTGCTTATGTGCCATTCCCTGCAATTATTATACGCGCCCTCCTCATTACGGCCCCATTGAAACTCAACAAGTGTCGCCCGAGTGAAACTATCAGATACAAATTGAACACGCAACAATTATGTACAGCCAGCATTCGCATTGACATTTGCACTTCCAGTACACTCAGAAAAATGTGCATTAATTTTAAATTTATTTGAGTACTTGATATAAAATATTTACGAGTCTAAAACAATTTATATGATAGTTGAAATCTACAATTTTTCTATTGGATAAACCAATTAAATATGTTAATAATTACATAATCATGTTTTTAGTTTGTTTTAAGATGGTATATATTTTGAAAAACAATGCTATATTTAAATATCTTAATGTTTAATTTTACTATGGGTTTTTTCTATTATTTCTTATTCGATTTTGCGTGTATAATTTGTATCTGATGATTTGTATTTGAAATTTTTAAAATGAACGGGAGTTTTGCGAGACCTTTAAGCACCTCGGATATTATGATTTCGGTGACATTTTCTCCCCGTGCAGCAATCGTGTTTATGAGGCACTGGCACTCCATATCCTCGCCTGAACAATCAGCAATATGCTAAATGGAAAAGCGCACAAGTCCGGAGAGAACGAGAACGAGGGCTCGAACCCGAACCCGAACCCAAACCCAATCCCAAACCCTGACCCTTGCCCAGCGGGCGGTAGTGCTGGCTTGAGCAGAAAGCCGACCCCCAGCGTCAAGATCGACATTAGCAGTTGCCAATCGAACCATCCGATGGACTCGCGAATGGCTCCCGACGAGATGAACCCATCAGGAGGAGAAGGAGGAGGAGGAGAGGGAAGTGGTGGCCTTCTAATGGTGCCCACACATCACAATCTGCAGCTCGATAAAATTTCCGTGCGCTCGATTAGTTCCGAGGATATATCGAATGGCGGCAGTGGAAGATGTTGCAATGCCGCCGCCCGTAATCCGGCCATAAAAACGGGTCGGCGCCTGCAGCTCATGCAGGTGAGTTTTTTCCATCGGGAAACAGGGACACCCACCTCGACAGGTGTGACAAGAAAAATAAAAACAAAACAAATACACACACTTATCCGGAGCAGCATAAATTAGCGGATCCGCATGCATCTTAATTAGGGCGACTGGTCAGAGTCACGTGCCTCGGCGACCACAGAGTGCGTCTGTCTAATGAATGTCGCGATTAGTGGGCCACGATAAAGACTAATCACACCGACTTCACCTCATTTTCCCACTGACTTTGCCTTTCCCTTTCCCTTTGCCTTTGCCTCAACTGCTCGCAATCAGGTCTTCCTCCACGGACGCACATATTGATGGCAAATGAAAATATATGTGGCACACTGGGCTAAAAGCTGACAGAATTTATTTAAATTATTTTTAAAGATTTATTCATGTTGTATTAATATAATCATATAAGTTAATAATTCGCCTTAAAAAGGTATGGACTAGCCCAAATAAATAATCTTTTTAAATTTATAAGAAAGGTTATTTTTTTTAATCTAGTGAATTGAAAACCACAAATAGAAATGACAATGCATAATTTTATTGGAAGGCTTAAATTGTGTTTTTTTTTTAATTTGAAAAAAGGTATCATCTGCAAGGCAATGACTCAAAAAAAAATAGGATGCCTTTGTTTTTAAATTCCCTTAATAAAATCTATGAGCAACAAAGACAATACAATCTAGAACCATAACAAAAAAAACCTATTTAATAAATTGATTTACTTAAACTATAATTTATTTATTTTGTTTCTTTAACCCCTTACAATACAAAACCACTGTAGGCGAAAATATGCTCTCATTGACATGCGATATCTTTTCAGATGATAATTCTACCATTTATACCAATATTGGCGTTGATTGTGCAAACATCGGTGACACTGCAAGAGATCCTGGAGTACCGTTCCGCCGTGGCCGACATTGAGACACAGGTGGGTCAATGGGTGGGTCAGTGGATGGGTCAATGGATGGGTCAGTGAATGAAAAGAAACAAACAATACCAAGGCGACCAGGAAATTGCGCCTTTCAAACGTAATTAAAATTTATTACTGCGATTCAATCAAGCGCCAAGTAGTTTACGGGGGCGATTCACTTTCACTCGCCGGTCAATGTTCACTTGACCATCTCGAGAAACCTTGGGAATGTCTGTTTGCTCAGGTAAGTGCCGTGCAAGTCCCCGTGAAGGGTGCTGGAGCACGAGCGCGTAGCCAGGCACTCAGCGGCGTCCTTCTGGCCCCCCTCCAACCCCCGCCCACTTCATCTATCCATAATGCAAATGCGAAGTCTTCGCAGGAAATGTGAAAGAATGGAAAATATTGTACGTACGTTATATGAGCCAGAAGGGGGCGGGGGGAGTGTCGGGGTGGCCAAAGTGGATTGATAAGAACGCAATGCGAAACATGCAGCGACAGTGGCAAGTGAAGGATTGGGGGGGTGGAAAATGGCAGGGGGTGGCATACACCCGGAAAATGGGGAGTGAAAAATGGGATGCCGATGAGTAGTGGTTGGGGTGGGGGTGCCTATTGAATGGGGTCACGTACTTAGAATGCAAAACACACTATAAACAAATCAAGAAAAAAAGAAACAAGTCATCGACGAAAAAACTTTCCGATGCTTAATAAAAAGCAGAGCTTACAAAAAGATATTGCCTTATCTGTTTTAAAGTAATTTTATACACATAAGCTTCACATTATCAAATAAAATTAACCAAAAAACTTCCTATCTATAGAACTATGATTATTAGTTTAATTAAATTGGAATTGATAAGCATACTCATTAAACAGTATTTACTTTCTGCTCAAAAATTAATAAATGGTCTTAAGATAATATTTCAATCAATTTCAATTATTTTGTTGGGTCCGGGAACCTCAAACACAATTATTTAAAAGATTTCGCCATTGATAAGACATAAATAGTTTTAATATAAATAATTTTTGATATTCATTTTAAATGGTTAATGGTAAATGGTTAATTTTCATTGGGGGAAGTCTAAATTGGTAGGTTTTAAAATGTATTTTCGGAAGGTCTTAAGAAAGACTAAATATTTTTTTTAAGTATTTAAAGCATAATGGTTTGTTTTTTTTATCGCTTGATTGACTCAATTGAATAAAAAGTATTTAACATTGAATTAAACTGGGATCTTGGCCTCGAAGAAAGCACTGGTATTGAGACACAGCTGGGTCTGGAAGAGTTGCAATGGGGCCTGGCAGATGTGGGGTGCCCACTGGGTGCAGTTCTTCACGGTCAGGCGGTGGGGATCCATCACGAATACTCCACTGGACATGTTATAGTTGGCCAGCAAAGTGAGGCAATCCCCGCTGGCGGGAGTGGGCTGTCCCGTGTTCCAGGGCAGATACACAGCCTGCTCCCCGGTGCTCTGCCAGAAGTAATCGTCTCTGGCTTGGCCCAACTTATTGCCGGATGTCCAGAACTCCAGTTGATATTCGGCAACCAACGGCAGCCAGTTGTTGATGGCATTCAGTTCCGTCTGGTTCTTGAGGCTCAGGAGTCCGGCGTTGATGGATCGGCAGTGGCGATCCGACTCATAAAAGTTCTTCCAGCTGCTGTCCACCAGAAGGCACTTATCCGCCACCCGGGTGAAGTTTGTGGGACAGGCGGCGATGGTATCCTCGCTGGCCACCTGATAAAGTTGGCCAAAGGCCAGACTGACCAATGCAAAGCAAACTAACTTGGGCCACAACATCGTTGGTAACTGACCCGAAGCTGGCCAACCGGGCTATTTTATATGGCCGAACCGCTGTGGGCTGCGATAAGTCCGCTTTCTGATAAGGATTCGTAGAATATAAAGCATGCGCCTAGTGGAAGCCGTTAACAATTTTAATCGCCTAGGGCTCAGTAGATTACCAAAAAGAATCCCCTTTTTCTAAACATAGTAATTCCCAAAATATAAACAAAATATTTCGAATTGAAAGTTACACAAAAACATATAATTCTAATCTATATTTTATCTGTTTTATATAATCCAGATAGTTTGGAGTGATAGTTGCACTCGGCATATTCATAATATTTAAGAAGTGTTTCTTGCAACAAAGACCAACAAAGAAAGCATATCAATTTAAGCTTTTTTAAACCAGTTCTTAAAATGTTTGTATACATTGTTATCGGTAAGCCTACTTGACTAGAAATACTTATCAAACAAAAACACTTCTTAACGAGGTAAAAAGCCGTGACGATCGCACCTTCTGTATTTGTTCTGAAATCCAAATTTGTGAAAAAAAAAGATGATTGAAAGATATTGCTAATACTACAAAAGTTTTGCGTTTTCGAACTAATTTTGCGCTAACCTAGCTAGCTGGTTAAAAAAGTCATCAACGAAGGTTTTTTATCGAGCTGCCCAACATAATACAATTGACACAATGATCCTAAAAACATTCCTGTATTTATTTTAAGGTTAATTACAATGGCTCATTCATTACCGAAAATTCTTTTTTTTAACATTTGAAAGAAGCATCGGAAATCATGCAAAGGTGTAATTCTAGTTAATTCGATTAACTTGCAATTAAAAATAGCAATTAACAAGTAAACTTTGTTTGTAATCGTATTGAATATGTATGCTTATGCTGAACCATTTTTATTAAATTTTTATTAAACCATATTTGCGACTGTTCGTCTGTGCCTTTCTAAGCAACCTAGTCTCTCAGCTTTAATGCGTTCTAAATAAAACGGTTCCAAATCGACATTGTTTTAACGTATACAAATAATATTTGAAATATATTCGTTTTATATAACATTATATTTTGTACGAGCAGCACGCCCTTTCTCTCTCATGTGTTAATTCACTTAAACTGGGATCTTGGCCTCGAAGAACGCACTAGTGTTGAGACACAGCTGGGTCTTGAAGAGTTGCAATGGGGCCTGGCAGATGTGGGCCGCCCACTGGGTGCAGTTCTTTACGGTCAGCCGGTGGGGATCCATCACGACCTGTCCGGTGGACATGCTGACGTGGGCCAGCAAAGCGAGACAGTCTCCGCTGGCGGGAGTGGGCTGTCCCGTGTTCCAGGGCAGATACACAGCCTGCTCCCCGGTGCTCTGCCAGAAGTAATCGTTTCTGGCTTGGCCCAACTTATTGCCGGATGTCCAGACCTCCGGTTGATTGGGGGCAATCTCGGCCAGCCAGTTGGTGATGGCATTCAGTTCCGTCTGGTTCTTGAGGCTCAGGAGTCCGGCGTTGATGGATCGGCAGTGGCGATCCGACTCGAAAAAGTTCTTCCAGCTGTCATCGAGCAGGAGGCACTTATCCGCCACCCGCGTGAAGTTTGTGGGGCAGGCGGCGATGGTTTCTTCGGCGGCCACATGTTTAAGCTGGCCAAAGGCCAAACTGACGAATGCGAAACAAACTAACTTGGGCAACAACATCTTGGGTAACTGACCCGCAGCTGGTCAACCGAACTCTTTTATAAGGCCGAAGAGCTGGGGGCTGCGATAAGCCAGCCTTTTGATAAGCAATCGAAGAATATAAAGTATACGCCCTGTGGTAGTTATCATGTTGTTATCAATTTTACCATCATAAACTCAAAACAATTGCCTGCCTCCAAGGGCTCAGTTGAGTTCTAAGGAGAATCCCCTGAGTTTACAGATAGGCAAAAATTATAAAATCATTTAGATTTGTAAATCACTCGCGTGTATGACATTTTAGAAAAATGACTCATTTGTTTGTTTATTTTATAGCTTAAGTTTGTCTGCCAAACTTATTTTTATATTTTTTTTTACTTTTTTCATAAACCTGGTAGTTCCACTCTGCGTATACGTATTATTGAAGGCACGTTTTTTTTTAAATAAACACAAACAAAAGATAACATATCAATTTAGGCTTTTTAAAACCAGACCTTACAATTTTAGTATACTTTGTTATCATTTAGACTACTTCAGTAGAAATACTTATGTTTTTCTCTATAAAACAGTATTAAAATGTTAAAACCACTTATCGTTTTTACTTGGCCTTGTAAAAATAAAGCAAATAAGCTTATTTTTCTATCTTTGTTTTAAATAATTTTTGCAACTCAAATTATAAACTTCTTTACAGTGGTTTATATCGTGTTCGTAATGCAATTATCCCGGTTGACATTTTGGCATTTAGTATAAGCTACTCAAGATAAAGAAACAATAAGCTAAAATAAACAAAAATCTAGTTTAATTCAAACTTGTTTCTTTATTAATTAAATTGTTTCATGAGTTAACTTGTTTAAATTGGCAAACAATCTGCAAGTTTGTGTTTTACCATTTCATTTAGGGTTTTTAAAAGCAATAAAAATTAAATATAAAATTTGTTTTAAATGTTTTGACTGCAAATTGATCTGGAATAAATAATTTTTGTATCTTAGGTTACCATTGCCACCGATTTAGGAAAGGTGGTAACACGCTTGCAACTCGAGCGCTCTGAAGTAGCTTTCTACATATTTACCAACGGCAGCAAGCAGCGGTGAGTGCTTCAACTGATTAATATCACAGGAATACCAGCTTATCCTTTAACCTTTGGATTTGAAACAGTGCCAACTTAACCCTAAGATTTGCGAACACGGATCACGCTCTGAACAACATGACCACATGGAGCGAAATCAGTGTGCCGACAGCTCCGGACGAGGATGAGGACGATCGGGAGATGATGCTGAACCGCTACGAATTCCAGAGCCGACTGAACGAATTTAGGGATCGAGTGCGCTTGGAGCCGGAGGAGAGCTCCATCACCGAGGTGATGAACTGGTATACATCCATCAATCGGGGATTACTGCACCATCTCAATGAGCAAATCAAGGAAACGGACAACAGCGGCGTTTGGCGGTGAGTTAAAAACTCTTAAAGTATTCTAGCTTATATTTATAAATTAAATTAAATTTTAATTGAAACTAAAATAAAATAAATACCATTTTCTCTATAATCGAATAGTTATCTGGTGGGATTCAAGAACCTGCTCAAGAGCATTGAGTGCCAAAACATCGCCACTTCCTTTGGCATCAGATATTATGGACGTGGATCCTTGACGGCTGAAAATTTTGTGTCCTATGTGCGCTACGAATTCATGGCCCGTGAGATGATCAACTCCACCTTGAACTATGCACCCATGCTAAAGAACATGTACACCAATATCACCAGCACCAAGAAGTTCCATCGCGCCAAACAAATGTGTGTGTGTGGCGAATTAATGTCTTATAATATATTTTGATATGGAGTCCTTTCACAGGAGCAACACACTGCTAAAGAACAATCCAAATGTTTCCAACGAGCGCAGTGCCATCGAGTTCTACGAACTGATGAACAACTATACCGATGACCTGAGAATACTACAAAAGGCCCTCCGACGTTTAATTAAGTAGGGATCTTTATATATATTTCCTTAAAATTGTATATTTTATTTGCTGATTAACTTATCTATTTCTTAGGGAGTATGTGGACAAGACCCTGGTGGAGGCTGACCGAAAAGAGGCCATTGGCATTGCCATTCTGGTTGTGGTGCTCCTGGTGTCGCCGGTCATCATTGTGCTGGTCAAGAATGCCGCAGCCACGATTCAGGTGCTTATTTAGCCACTATAGTTTCACTCCTCCAACTCAACATTCCCTTTCACCCAGCTTTATGCCCTGAATCTGTCCCAAAAGGCCAAGGAGTTGAAGCGGGAGAAGCGGAAAAGCGATTCGCTACTCTTTCAGATGCTGCCCCCCAGTGTGGCCATGCAGCTGAAGCAGACCCAGCAGGTGAGTCCGTCAGTAGGGGGGGGAGGGGTTCGAAATGGGCATTAGGCTGGTCTAATTGGTTCGTGACAGGTGCCCGCCGAGCTCTACGAGGCAGTTACCATCTACTTCAGCGACATCGTGGGCTTCACCGAAATCGCAGCGGATTGCACTCCACTGGAGGTAAATTTCATAATGGTTTTAGAAATATAATTGATGCGAATATAGTAAGATCTCATTTGTTCATAATTTTAGAAAAAATTCACATCGAATTCATATATTAAACAATATATATATATATTTAACACAATTTAATAACGATTCTAATTAGTTTAATTTTGTTTAAACTTTTTAAAAAATCAAAATAAAAACATGGACTTCAAGTTGAATTTCTTTAGCCCCTGATAATTAACAAAACTTTTAAATAGGTTTTTAAATACAAATATTTTTTCTGAACAACAAGTAAATACTTAAAATAAAGCATTACCAACATTGTTTTGTTTATTTATTTTTTTTTAAATAAATACATTTTCTTGCCTTAGTTTTAGATTTTAAGGTTAAATATTGTATATCTCATTTTGAAAGGGACCCTTATTTTTTGTTGAAGTGGTTACGAAATAAACTTATTTGAATATATCTGTATTTGGCAGGTGGTGACCTTTCTGAACTCAATTTACCGGGTGTTTGATGAGCGTATCGAGTGCTACGATGTGTATAAGGTGGAAACCATTGGAGACTCGTATATGGTGGCATCGGGTCTGCCGGTGAAGAACGGTAATTTATGCAAATTCAGCTGTCAGTCAGTCAGTCATTTAGCCCGGCTGCTCGACACCCCGCCAAACGCCCCGCTGGCTGACTTGACTGCCCCCGAAAAAAAGGTTATTCGCTAATTTAAATTTCGTTTTGTGGCCATGCGCGTAATTTATGCCATGGAACTGCCTCCGCCGCAGGAATCAAGCACATCAGCGAGATAGCAACAATGGCGCTTGATTTGCTGGACGCCTCGTCGGTGTTCCGGATTCCCAGGGCCGGCGACGAGTTCGTCCAGATCCGGTGCGGAGTGCACACGGGTCCGGTGGTCGCCGGCATCGTTGGCACCAAAATGCCGCGCTACTGTCTCTTCGGCGACACGGTGAACACGGCCTCGCGCATGGAGAGCACCGGCGAGGCCCAGAAGATACATATCACCGAGGAGATGCACGACTCGTTGCAGCAGGTGGGCGGCTTCCGGACCGAGCACCGCGGCCTCATCGATGTCAAGGTGGGTGGCGACTACAATATATTCGATTTCATTTTCAAAATTTTATTAAGCTGGGAGCCACAATTGCAATTCACTTAAAATGATTCCGTAAAAGCAACATGACGTATGAGTGATCTTAATATCACTCCTGCGTATGGTGGTATTTGATAGAACAATAATCTACTGCTTTTTGAAGGAAGTATGTCTTAAAATACCTTTTTTGGACTCTCCACATTTTAATTGTTTTTTATTAATTGTTCATGGGGAATAAATTATAAATTCATGTAATGGAAATCACCCTACCATGTCACTCATAAGTTAAGCAATCAACAGAATTTTTAACGTCTTTAAATATCCTGAAGAGTCTTTTTGGGTTATTAACATTTTATTAGTTGTTATTAACAATTGAAATCACCCAGAAATATTATATTTTCCTAAATGCAAAAATACAATAATATCAATCATACGTAGTGTGATATTTGTGACATGAATAGACATATATTTCTAAGTTTGAAAATTCTTAAAGGATATGGTATGATCTTAAAAGTTATTTTTTGTAGGCTAGAAACATATATCTCTTCAAAAGTATTCATTTAATTTGACTGTCTCTGAAATCCAAAAGCAATAGATATTTTTAAAATCAAAAATCGGTTATTAATTTCAGGGTAAGGGCCTAATGAGCACCTACTGGCTGACCTGCAAGGACGGACCCGTGAGGGTTCGCGAGGAGATTTCTTGGCGAGCGGACATGCAGCCCGTGTTTCTGGATCACCTGAAGCTGCACCCGCCGACCGACTACAAGCTGCCAAAGCGGAAATAAGCGACGGGCCACTGCCAATTTTCCGGCTAGGCCAAATTGCTGATATCCAGTAAACTGTAGCCATATATTAATGGCGCTTTCGCTGTCCCTCTCTAGATGTGCATGTGTTGGTGTCTATCTCGGTGTGATTTCTCCCTCTATCCTTAGACGCTTTGAAGCCTAACCGTCTTTATGTAATCCTCAGTGTGAATAACGAGCATTATTAAGCCAAAATACAGACTTATGTTAATTAAAAATAAAACGGCAACTTAAATTTTTTTTTAAATTTGGGTTTTTAACACGATGGGTCGCTTGATTATTTAGGCAAATAATTTTATTTATTGATTGATCAAAAACAAGTTTTTAATTTATCTTCACTTAAACCGATTTATTTAGTGACAAGTTTTTTATTGCTGTTCAAATAAAGCATTATATTTTTTTAGATTACAGTTAGGTTTCCCAATTGTAATTCATTTTAACAACGAGAACGAAGCTTGAAAGATTTCTATCAACATTTTAAAAAGCAAAAATATTTCTTAGAGTGTTGATGGTGAGTTAAATTTACCGGTACTTCTTCAGTCGATATCTATCGATACCTGGTCAGCTGGAGTAGGATAGTGTGACCGCACGCTGTAAATTTGAACTGTGTCAGCGTGTGCGTGTGAGCTGGTGTGTGTGTGGGAAGTTGCAGACAGAGAGAACAAAGTAAAATTTGAAAAGTTAAAGCACTGCAGCTGCTGAGGATATAGCCAAAATCGGACGAATCACTGTCATGGCCAAGGTTATATCGCAGGACACCTTCGACGATGTGGTCAAAGAGAACGTGGTGGAGTTTTCCATGACGCCATCGGAGGCGAAGGAGGAAACCATCAAACAATTCGAGGCGCAGGTGAGTCAAGTCAATTGTCCAACTCCCCCAGATGATTCACTCTAATGGACATCTTGCAGGGCATTAACCTGGCCAACATCATCAAGGATCTGTCCGTCAATCCGCAGACCGGCCAACCGGTCATCAACGAAACGGTGGACAAGATCAAGGAGCACATTGGCCAAAAAACGGAGGACACGACCCAGCTGCTGGAACAGCTGGCCATCCTTGATGGCGAATGCCAGAAGTCCTTGGCCCATCGCGTTCTAGCCGGCAAGAACGGTGCCCACGATGCGCTGATCACTCTGCTGGAGGAAACCCTCTCTGCGGATAAACCCAACGAATCGCTGATCAAAAAGACCCTGGAGGCGGTCAACAGCCTGACCCACAAGCAGCCGGATCTGTTCGATGCCGAGGCCATGGCAGTGGTCCTCAAGCTACTGGCCCTCCAAGTGGAGAGCGAGGACGTCACGTTGCTGACGCTACAGTGGCTCCAGAAGGCGTGCATCATGCACGAGATGAACCGCCAGAACATCATGAATACTCCCGCCCTCAAGTTGATGAAGCCTCTGCTGGGCAAAGGCAAGGATCGTCTGGTGCGCGAGCTGACCGCCGTGTTCCGTTTCCTGGTCCTCGACGACGACATCCGCGTGGAGTTCGGCTGTGCCCATGAGCATGCCCGCCAAATAGCCGGCGAGGTGCTGCTCCCTTTGGTGGAACTGCTGCCGGCCTACGAGGATCCCAATGTGTTGGCCGATCTGCTGCTCACCATTGGAACGTTGGCTGTGCGCCAGGAACTCTGCACGGCCATCGACGAGGCTGGTGGCCTGAAGTCCGTCTTCGAGATCATGAGCCAGAACCTAGACGAAGTGCGTCTGAACAAAGAGGCCTTGAAGTTACTGCGAGCCCTTGCCGGTCATGACTCCGTGAAAACACACATTGTCCAGCAAGGCGTGGCTCCCATCATAAAACAACTGCTGGAGACGCACCATTCCAACGAGAACATCGTGGCCGCCGCCTTGGCCTGCGTGACCACGCTGACCCTGCGAGTAAAGGAGCACAGCGCCGCCTTTTTCGAGACTGGCATTGCCGAAGTGATCGTCGAGGCGATTCGCGCCCATCCCAAGCACAAGATTGTCCAGCGGAACGGAGCCTGGGCCATCCGCAACATGGTGTCGCGGTCGCGCAACCAATGCGAGACCTGGATCTCCTTCGGCATCGAGGATCTGCTGAATGCCGCAATGAAGGAGCATCCCAGCGTGCAGCAGGACATCAAGGCGGCGCTGCGTGATCTCGGCTGCAGCGTCCACCTGCGCGAGGAGTGGACGGGAACGGCGGAAAAGAAGATCGCAGCCTGATCGCACACATCATGTCTTTTGTATTTTTTTGTATTTAACACTAACTTATTACTACTGCTTATTCCATGCATTGGCTAACTAACAAAATCGGCAATCCTCAATAGCAAACACACGCTAATACCCAACTAGAGCAGTCTCTAATGATCACATGGTTGTTGACTCATTTGCCCAAGTTGAAATTGCGCAGGGAGCCGGCTTTAAGGCGCTGGTTGACGTTCCGGGAAAGGACAGCTGTGGGTCTGCTGCTCGCCAGACCCTCTTCTTCGGCGCGCTGTGCAAAGGGATCCACCTTCTCGGAGCCGCCCATTCCATTGAATACAAAGTTGGAGCCAGCGGTGGCCGTCAGGCCAGTGCTGCTCGAGCTGCCCAGCAGCAGGCGAGGCTTCTTGAAGATTGAGTACTGCGGAGAAATTCAATTGCTGACTGAACTGCACTCGGTTGGCTAGCTGTGCCTACCTTTTCACTGAGATCACTGCTGGTTTTGCGTATGGTTCCGCTGGTCATGCTCACACCGCTGGCTCCCTTGATGGGCGATATTTTGGTCTTGGCCAGTCCAATGTTGCCCTTCGTATTGAGAAGATGGACCAAGCCCACGCTGCTAGATTTGATGTTGAGATATGGCGAGGTGGACTCTTCAATACGCTTGATATTCTCCTTCTACAGGGTTGGAAAATATTAAGCTCCAATCTTAAGCAATAATTCTGGCTACTCACAATCGTGGGCGATATGGTGGAACGCCTAGCTTCGCGTTTAAGGGCCATTATGTTGCTATTCAGACTAAAAGAGGTGTCGGGAGAGTCCAAGCAAATGGGCTTGCTTTGTAGAGCTTGCAGCTGAAAAGTAAAAGATGCGTTAAAATTATATGTAGATTAAAGGTAACATTGCCCACCTTCTCCTGCGCTTGGTAAAGATCACTCTCTAGGTGTGAAACACGCTCCTCCAACTTGCTGTGATGAAAAGAGCAAGAATTTATAATGGGAGTCATTTAGAAATTAAAGTGGACAAACCGCTTGAGTTCGATCTCCTTGCGTAGATCATTCTGCACCAGTTTGACCACGTTCCTGAGTTCAGTCTTCTTGCTCTCGCACTGGCGCAGCTCTCGCTTCAGTGTGGACACCCAGTTGGCCAGGACTTGGGGATCGCTCTCGTTCTTGAGCAGGCGCTCGGCATCCGCAGATCCAGCTGACAGAATGGCCGAGATGCCCTCCATGGCCTGGATCTGCGACTTCAGTGACTTGTTCTCCTTGCGCAGTCCATCCACCACCAGTGCATCGCTCTTGAGGATGCTGATCTGCTCAGCATAGCTACTGATGAGGAACTCCTTCTTTTGTACCTTTTGCTCCAGACCAGCGATGGTTTTGCTGAAAAGGAAGTCAAGGTCAAGCAGGTATTTGAGGGAATTTCCAGACAAGACTCACAGGCATTTCTTTTGCGTTTCCTTCAGATTACGCATCTGTTGTTCAGCCTTTGTGCGCTCCTTTTCGATCATCTTTATGGACAACTCGGCGTTGTCCAGCTGTTCCTGCAGGGAACCCACATCGATGCGGCTAACATCCAAATTGGCTAGATTGAAGTAGACCCTGAAAATGTTGCGAGTTGTGCACTTGTTACGACACTGGGGACAGGTCTTCGAGCTAAAAATCATTAAGGAGTATGTATATTATTGGGGGATCCTGAAAATCTTCGGAGGACTACTTACCGATCGAGCCATTGGTTGAGACAACTGTGGTGGAACATGTGCCCACACATTGTGGCAAACACCTCGTCGGCCTGACCAAATAATTCGGCGCATATGACGCAGTTTAAGTTCAACATTTTTGGCACAAATAACTACATAAAAACAGTTATTACAAAACAACAACAATAAAATGCACGCTGCACAATTTACGCGCCCAACGAAATACAGCTGATTTCTGGCGATTTCACCACCACTGCACGAGCTAAATCCACCACACCAACAGGGAAATCGATAGTTTTGCATAGATGTGTAGCTATTTTCGCTAGACAGCTTGAAAACACAATTCGACTTAAAACGATTTAAAATTACAGCGCGCTATGAACATCATATACCAGAAACAATTCTGATGACATATTAATTACTTCATCCATTGTAAGAAATTTTCAATTCGCCTACAATATACATTTTACATTGCATGTTACAATAAAAGTTAACAATATAGCTGGTAAGCATTTTCAGAGAACATAGCTACAAATTAAAAGAAAATGTTATATTGACAGTCTGAATAGTTCCTTTTATTTCTTTCAAAATGCTCAAAATTCATATATTTTAATTTTGAAAATCACATTTTATAGATTTTTAAAGGAAATTTTATTCTGTAGTTGCCATTTAATGTTAAGATTGCGGTTGGCTATTTATTTTGGCCATTGCAAATTGTTTTCTTTTCACCATGGCGGAGTTATCGATAGCAGAGCCAGCACTAGCGGGTTGTTTGCGAAAGCACACCGTGCGCTTTCGATAGCGCGACAGTGCCATCGGTGCCACCACTAATACACAACTATAAAAGTCGTCGAGTAGCAATAATAAATAGGATTGTGATAGATTTGTGCATTTAACTCCTTTCGTTAGTTGTGTTCCAATCGACCGTGGGTCCCAGTGAGCTAACTGCAATCGCACTTGCACCGGAAGCGGGAGCTGGGCGAAAAGGTGGACAATTTGGCGTGCGCATTTCATTTCGACACCTTTGTCAACGCTGATTCTTATTTGGTGGAACACCGACGACCAGCGCACGCATACAATCACAGAACCGAAGTGTGTGGAAGGGGCAGAGACAAACAACCGTGCGATAACAACAACAATCGGCAGCGTTCTTGTCGAACAAATGGAAATGGCCAACAACATGGTCGGCAACAACAGTGGCGGCAGCAACAACACCACCTACGGCAGCTACAACAACAGTGCGGCGGACAGTGGTCACAGTTCGTCACTGGGCGGCGGCGGAGGCGGTAGTGGTGGTGGTGGCGGCGCCGAGGGAGCGCGGCTGCGGGATGTTTGCAACATTCTGAACGCAGGCGCCACCGGCTACCAAATTCCCACAGGTGGCTGTGCCTACGACCACATCATCGCCCTCATGCGAAACCTCGACCTGCAGGACGATGGCATCGTGCTGAACTCCAAGATCAAGACCATCGAGACGGACTACTGCAACATAGTGCGCGACGAGTCGATGCTGTGGTATGTGTTCCCCGCCGTCCGTGCGCCCATTGATGATTAATAATATCATAAGTTGTGTGTATGTTCGGCACCTCTTTTAGCGTATAAATACCCGGTGAGGTGAAGGTACAGTGCGGTGCGTAAGCGTAGGTCCAACTTGATCGGATAGCTAACTGCTTTTGAAAGCACCTTTCGATAAACCGATAAAACCGATCTTACAAAAGACAATTTAAACATATTCCCTTATGAGCAATTAATTTGTAACTGTTGAACAAACAAAAATTTTGGTAAAGTTAAAAATTCAATAGGTATACGGCAATTGGTTAAACTTTCTAGAAATGTTAGCCAAATGTATTGTTTAAATTTCGGGTCTTGCGACAAAAGTAATTTATGCATTCTACGGTTCCTTCATTGGAAATTTATGTAAGAAAAACACATATCAAAGTTCAGGAGTTTCTTTATTTTTGACGTTTAGCCGGTAGACTATTTAACTTTATTAAGCGTAACCTATTCCATTTTTCATTCTTTCCATTGCTTAATTGATAATGACTTCTTAAACCAATTAACAATTTGTAAAGTAGCATAAATTAATATTTTATTTTCCAATCGCTGTACAATTTTGCAACGCACTGTAGATGTAAATATGTGTGCACACGAGTTTGTTGTTTGCGACCAGGTTGCTTGTACGTCAGCGTGTCTTAAAAATTTACAGCTTTTCATACAAATAATAACGACTAGAGAGACATCGGCGCCATCGAATCAGTTCAAAGTGAACATTTTTCCCTCCGATTCTCTCAGGCTCATGCTCGCATTAATTGCTGAGTAAATAGTTCGCGGCTTGGACTTATCAGATAATGCTGCTGTGCCTACGAACCAATCGTATAATGTATACAATAACATAACAACAGTTGGGGGGTAAACCAATGTGGTCGTTAAAGCGAGTTGTGGTAAAAACTATAGCAACGATCATGTAGGAAAATGTAATTGCTGGTGAAAACATATTCAGATTACTACTATAAAAAGGAAATCAACATGCACATTTATATGTGTGTAATGCAAATGAATAAATAAATATGTAAGATATTGGAAGCTTTGGAGAGTTAGTCATAGATACTAACTGAAGCGTTCAAAGTGTATATATTTACAATACAATACAACACAATAGTAAAGCCAACCCCTAACTTAACGTTAATGTAAAACAATTGGTAGTGCATTTGATAAACATATCCTAAGATACACATTGATTTAGTCATAAGAAACTCCTTTGATGTTAATTGAGTAAACAATTCTTATTCGCAGCGAATCCATGGAGTACCTAAATGACAAGGCGCTCGGTGATGGTGACACGGCGCTTAAGTTCGCCCTGCTCTTCTCGTCGCGAAACTTCGACGCCCTGGCCATGAAGGAGACCAAGGTGCGCAGCGCCATGCTCAAAATCCTGGAGACGAACTTCCTCAACGCGGATACGTACCGGGTGCACGACAAGAATCGCCTGTATAACTCGATCACGCTGCTGGGCGAGTACTACCACAGGGTGCGACTGGCGGATAATGCCCCGATCACGATTTTGGGTGAATCCCTGCTGGATCTGCTCACCCGCGAGCTGAACGACACCTCGGTGGTGCTGGGCACTCGCATCGCCCGCCTGGTGCTGTCGCAGATCACACTGAACGGGGAGATTATGCGCAAGCGCCACAAGGTAGAGATCGATCTGCTGCTCTTCCATGTCCGCCGCCATTTGATCATGCAGCCCGCGCTGAGCGCCAAGGTAAAGGCCATGCTGCTGATGGTGCTGGACCTCTTCTACAGCCACTTCAAGCACATCGGTCACGACCTGGAGGCCATGTACACCGACTTTTTGGTGGTCGAGGATGGCGAGGAGGATGGGGTCAACAATAACGGCGCCGGCCCCCAGCATCCCGTTGAAGATGGCCACCCGCAGCAGCAGCAGCTCCAGCATCAGCAGTCGGAGAACGGCAGCAGTGCCAACACGTCCGCCCATGACCAGGATTCCTTCGATCCCCCGTCGACGACAAAGAAGTGGAGCGAGCAGGTGTGCGAGGACTCGTTCTGCGACATTGGCTACGGCGAAGCGGAGCAAGTCGACGACATGTACTCGGAGGCTGGAAGTCATCCATATCCTGCCAACAACTCCCTCGCCCTTGGCCATCGACGTCGCGGATTTCAGCCACGCCAAGTTCCGCGGCCCCTGAAGTCGCAGCAGCCACAACACAATCAACAGCCAAACAGCATAGAGTATGTACTTTATTATACTATTTAAATTTAACTAGCTGTTAACATACTACCTTTATGCGCACGTTTGAAAAATCCTTAATGATTTCTTAAGAAAATTGATTTAAAAATTAAATTATAAAAGACAATGTTTGTATGTTCTATATATATATGTTATATGTATATATAAATGTTCTATAAACATTTTCTTTTTAAATAAAACGTGTGTACCAACGTTTTGATCAATCACACATCATATATCAATCAAACTGATACTATTTTTTATGGGCTTATATTTAATTAAAAATTATGATTGATTATTAAACTCATATATATTATACCGAAAAAATAACCTAAAGCTCAATTGTAATCTTATTATAGCGATATTTCCAAGATTGATTCAAGTCCTATAAGTAAGTCAAGGAAAATCTTTTTAATCAAATTATTTATTTGATTCAACTACAAAACATATATTTCAGTTTTTATTAGTTTGATTTTCAACAATGTGTTGATAGATTTGATTTTGATCATGAGTTAAGTTAAGTTAAAACAAAATATAAATACAGTAAAATATTAATTTATTGCATCGTTTTATATGATTAATTTGTTGTTTTTCTGTTCGTTTATAGACGTGTTCTCAGTTCTCAGTAACAGTCAGAGTTAAAACAAATTGGTAAAAACGAAATTCAAAATTTTGTTTATGCCAAAAAACTTTACTCTATATATCAGTTTATTCTTAATTTTAAGTTGTACAAATTTGTAATTGTCCTTTTTTTAATGACAATTTGTAAAGAATCAATAAACCCATATAAATACATCCTTAACAGCGCCAACTCCGACCAGTATCCATCCGTGGCCAGCAGCGAGGATCGGGACGAGAGCAAGCCGCTCCCTAGCTGGCGGAAGACACGCTTCAACCGCAACCACGACGGCGACCAGAGCAACGGACGCTCGCGGGACCAACAGCGGCGGTACAGCGTGAGCTGCGACGATGACCACCACAGCGTGCGCAGTGAAGGAGGCGGCAACCTGCGACTCTACAGCATCCACGACAGGAGGAAACACTCGCAGGAGCGGATCGAGCGCAACATGACGGGCGGCGGCGGCAACTACAACAGCATCGTCAACTCGAATTGGGATCAGCGGGATCGCGACGATCGCAGCGAGCGCTCCTACATAAGTAACTACGAGCGCGGGAACAACTACAAGCGTGGTGGTCGATTCAACAACCGGAACACCTACGACAAGCCGCCGCGATTCCAGAAGCAACAACAACAGCAGCAGCAGCAGCAACAACAGTTGCAGCAGCAGCACCACCAGGGCGGCCATCAGAAAATACATAGTGATACCTGGCGGCGTTCCAACAATGCCATAAATAGTGGCTACCAGGATGAGAACTGTGCGTACAACTCCAACGGTCCGGAGTCAAATAGTCGCAGCTCTTCGAGGGCTCGCACTCTGCCAAGACCGCCAAAGTCTCAAATGGATAAGTCTGCCGGCTATCGTTACAACCAGAGTCCC